ATACTATATAAAGATGTTACTTAGAATTAAGATTTAGAAGTCATATAATACTTTTTATTATTATTGTCTCGTTTTCTTTTCTAATTGAGTTTAACCGAGCACTAATCGAGAAATCACGTTGGAATATTCTCCCGTTCATCAGTTCACACGGGCTGCATCTCATCAGATCACCAGCACCAGTTCACACGTCCAGCAAGTCTTCCTTCCAGATTCTTCTTCAGTTCACGTTCAGCACCTGTTATTCCATCACCAGGACATGCATCTTATTCTAGATCCTTCTTCCAGTAGTTAGTTTGTTAGATAGTTTTCTCTATAAATAGAGCTATATAATTCAAGTTCTACTTGAGCTTGATGAATATATAGCCCCCGTTTGACACCAATTATTTTGAAGAATTAGTTTTTGAATAGTGATTGATGTAAAGAATGTGTGGTTAAAAAGTAAGAAGAATTTTTGGGTTTATGTGTAATATTATTTTATTTGAAGAATATATTGTTAGAAATGAGTACTGTAGAAAAATGAGAATGAGAATGAGATAAAAAATGGGTGTCAAATAGGGGCAAAGTAAGAAAAATGAATTTTTCCCTTATTCTATTTATTTTACAACAAGGTCTAAATTTTAATAAATGGGCTTATTCAATACAGGCTCGGTGTTGTTGGATCGAGTAGGTGGAAGCCCAAGATGCGGAGAATTTGGGGCCGGCGTCCGTCTTTCTCAGACGAGCAAATTTTGTGTTCATTTTCCTCCTTTTCCCTCAACAAAACCCTAAAGTAGGTAATCTAATCCAATGAATGTTTCCATTTTATCTCTTGGGTAATGAATGTCTTAATACATTTGTTCATTGTAATGGTCGTTTTATGCTGTTGTTTCGTTTAGTCCTGTTCTTTTTAAGGCATTAATTTTATTAAATGAATCCTGGAAATTAAAGATTGAGTCATTTCTGGGATAAATTGAATCCCTGAATTGTTTCTTAGGTTATATTTATGTTATAGTCAATTTGGTTACTATTGTCTGCTAACTTGTTTCTTGGTGACACTTGCTTTTCCTTTTCTTAATTCATTTTGTTCCCGATTTTTTTTTTCAGATAGGATTGGTCATGTTATGAACGGGGTTTTTCTATTCTATGTTTTTAGCCTTGCTTCCATCAAAAGGTTTTTTCATCAGAAGTTTTCACTTGTGTAAGCAGTTCACTAGCCCAAGTGCTGAAGATATTATCTTTAAGGCTATTTGTGTTAATATAAGGCAAAAGAAATGGAAGTTTTTGGACCAAGTGTCTCCAGCTCTCACAAACTCTATGGTTTATCGCATTTTTTGCGAGTTCCGGAGCTCTCCACTGCTAGTTTTAGAGCTTTACACCAGAGTTGGAGGGTGCAAAAGTGTCTTGGATTCTTTGGAGTCTTCTTGTACTGTGATTTGTGTGATGGTGAAGTATAAAAGATATGATGATGCATTGGGTTTGATGAATGAATTGATGATAGCAAAAGGGTATTCACCTTTGGAGATTTTAGAAGCATTGGTTAATAGCTCTGATGCAACACTTTTGAGTTCTGCCGTATTTGATGCGTTAGTGAGGGCATGTACCCAAATTGGGGCTACGAAAGGTGCTTATGATGTGATGGAAAAGTTGAGAATCCAAGGTCTTCATGTTTCTATTTATGCATGGAACAATTTTTTGAACCATCTTTTGAAGATAGATGAGACTGTCAGGTTTTGGATGGTGTATAAGGAAATGATTTCGTATGGATATTACGAGAATGTGAATACTTTTAATTTGCTTATTAATGCTCTTTGTAAGGGCTGTAAACTGTCTGAAGGATTCTCTGTTTTCTATAAGATGTTGAAATACGGGATTGTGCCCAATGTTGTTAGTTTTAACATGCTTATAGATGGAGTTTGCAGGATTGGTGACCTTGATTTAGCTCTGAAACTGGTTAAGAAGATGGAAATTATGTCAAGTGGCATCGTGAAGCCTAATGTAGTTACTTATAACTGTCTCATTAATGGGTATTGCAAGTTTGGTAAGCCGGAAACTGCTGAAGAAATTATGAATGAAATGATTCAAATGGGAGTTAAGCCTAATGAAAGGACTTTTGCGACACTGGTTGATGGGTATTCCAGAAGCGAGTGTTTGGAGCAGGCATTTAGGCTGTCTGATAATATGGTTGAAAGTGGCTTGATACCCAATTCAGTGGTTTATAATACAATCATCCACTGGCTATATATGGAAGGAGATATACATGGAGCTTCCTCAGTATTGTCAGACATGATTAAAAGATGCATATCCCCCGATCAATTTACACACTCTATTCTTGCAAAAGGATTATGCAGGAGCGGCCACATCAATGAAGCTTTGATATTTCACAACCGGAATATAGAAAATAACCTTGTGGAAGAGCCCTTCTCTCACAACATTCTCATCAATTATCTTTGCAAGAACAAGAACATGACAGGAGCTAAACAACTTCTCTGCAGTATGTTTATTCGAGGTTTAATCCCTGACCTGGTTACGTACGGCACCATAATTGATGGGTATTGCAAGGTAGGCAATACGAAAAGTGCAGTCGAGGTTTACATGGACATGGTTAAGATGGAAAAGAATCCAAACTTGGTAATTTACAATTCCGTTGTAAATGGTTTATGCAAAGAAGAATGCATGGATGTAGCAAGATTTTTGGTAGACACAATGAAGAAGACAAATATGTATGATGTTGTAACTTTTAATACACTGTTGAACGGATATTGCAGTACAGGAAAGTTTGAGGAGGCTTCTCATTTATTTGGGAATATGAGAAAGGAAGGAATCTTGGCGAACACAGTCACTTGTAATATTTTGATAAGCTTTCTGTGCAAATTTAGCAAATTTAGGTTATTTGAACAGGCAAAGGAAGTTGTGAGAACAATGGTTGCTCAGGGCTTGAATCCGGATTTTGTAACATACACTGCACTTCTGACAAACTTTAGCAAGAAGAGCAGTGCTGAGGAGGTCATTAAATTGCACGATTTTATGGTGCTCGCTGGAGTAATTCCCGTTGACGAAACATATAACGCTGTTGTGAGTCCACTTATTAAAGAAACTTCTACTGAGTTTGATTAAGTTATGGATAGATTTTAGCTTTGTATATGCATCTTATAGAAAACACAAAATCACTGGAATTGTATATTTTCCTTTGCTTCTCATATCATATGCTTCTAATCAAGCAATTGGAAGGTGTGCTTAGCTTTTTATTAATTCAGATGGTGAAATGTATGCAGTTCTTATTGAAGTGCAGACATAACTTCTTTTTTATTTTTAATTATTTTGTTCATCGTCTGTTTCTAACTTGTCTATTCGATACTTCGAAATTCTGTTTTCACAGTGGCATAATCGATTGTTGGAAATATGAAACATATTATCGGTGATTCATATTNGGGGTTGCTCAATTGGTCAGGCCTTGGGTTTGCTCCCCAATGGTCACCAGTTCGAGTCCCCTCAGGGCCACTGAGGTGAGTACCCGGCCGTAAACTTCAGGGCCCCGTGGAATTAGTCGAGGTGCGCGCAAGCTGGCCCGGACATCCACGGTTAAAAAAAAAAAAAATGGTACAACTGAATTAACTGAAAAGTAGCTTTTAAGCTGTTTTAACGCACAGTCTAACATGGTCAAAAGTACAACTGAATTAACTGAAAAGTGAACAAAGAATGTTAGAATCACAAATGGTTTGCCGAATCTTCCAAGAGTAATTAAGCAAAGAAATAATTTGCTTGAAAAAGGAAAAAGAAGAGAGAGTCCATGTAGGCCGTCATCCACTCAAGGCCACATGATATCTTCGTCAGAAGATTATATGTCCGAAATAATGTAATCAAGGGGATCAAAATATCTTTGCAATTTGTAGTTGCTTCACAAAGCAATCTCCAACGTTCAAATTCTTATCCTAAAACCTAATCCAAACATCCTATTTCCCTCTCTCCCTCCGCCTCTCATTTTCCCCCTCCTCATCACCAATACAATTCACCCACAAAAACCAACATCCATACATTATAGAGATAAGGTTCAAACCAAAAGCTCCTAAAACAAACACTTCTTCTTCTCCATTCCTCCATTACCACCTTTTTGAAGAGGTCTAAAAAGAAGCAGAAACCATGTCTTGTTCAAATCTGACAATGTTGGTGTCCTCGAAACCTTCTCTCTCCGATGCCTCTTCTCTCTCGTCTCGCTCTTTCCACAGCCCTTTTCCGCTTCCTAGCAATAATTCAAACACTTCCAGCCCTTCTAGATCATCAACAGCCACCCCAATTCAATGTGGTCTTCGTGAACTTCGGGAACGTATTAATTCTGTCAAGAACACCCAGAAAATCACTGAGGCTATGAAGCTTGTAGCTGCTGCTAAAGTGAGAAGAGCACAAGAAGCTGTGGTCAATGCTAGACCTTTTTCTGAAACTCTTGTTGAAGTTCTTTACAATATCAATGAGCAACTCCAAACGGATGATGTCGATATTCCTCTCACCAAGGTTAGGACTGTCAAGAAGGTGGCCCTTGTTGTTGTGACTGGTGATAGAGGTCTCTGTGGAGGTTTCAACAATTATATCATCAAAAAGGCTGAGGCCCGTATAAGAGAATTGAAAGCACTCGGTCTTGAATACACTGTGATCAGTGTTGGTAAAAAGGGTAATTCGTATTTTCTCCGCAGGCCATATATTCCAGTCGACAAGTTTATTGAAGGTACTAATCTTCCTACTGCTAAAGAAGCTCAGGCAATAGCGGATGATGTTTTCTCATTATTTGTAAGTGAAGAGGTTGATAAGGTTGAGCTTCTTTATACCAAGTTTGTGTCATTGGTTAAATCTGATCCAGTGATCCACACGTTGCTTCCATTATCACCAAAAGGAGAAATTTGTGATGTGAATGGGGTTTGTGTGGATGCAGCCGAAGACGAGTTCTTCAGGTTGACAACAAGGGAAGGGAAATTGACTGTGGAAAGGGATGTTGTAAGGACTCGGACACCAGATTTTTCGCCAATTTTGCAATTCGAGCAGGATCCCGTGCAAATTCTTGATGCTCTGCTGCCACTTTACCTGAACAGTCAAATCTTGAGGGCATTGCAGGAATCACTGGCCAGTGAACTTGCTGCTAGGATGAGTGCCATGAGCAATGCTACTGATAATGCAGTCGAATTGAAGAAAACATTGTCTCGTGTTTACAACAGACAGCGCCAAGCAAAGATTACTGGAGAGATATTGGAGATTGTTGCAGGAGCCAATGCTTTGACCTAAGTACAGTTCTTAACTTCTTGGTCCCTCATAATTATGCTTCTCCGTCAGGTATTTTTGTGGGAGATTTCATTTTTATTCCTGTCATGCTTGTTTAAGGAAAAAACTATCGGACTAGATACATTTTATTGTAATTCTCTTCTCAACTGCGTATAAACTTCATACAAGATGAGAATCGCCATGTATTTTGAAACATAAGAGAATTCACTCACTTTTATAATTTTTTTCCCCAATTGTATTTATAATTTTTGTATTAGAAGCTCCATAGTTCTGTGAAACACATAGGATGAATTTACGTATTAAGAATATGTGCACACATACACTACATCGCTCAATCTAGTTGCATTTAGATTGTCCTCTCAAATCTTATTTTTCTGTCACGTATTGCTCTGCTTGTTAGTTTTATGCTACACTGCTCCGAAATTCCTTTTCTAACTGATCGCGTCTCAATTTTCATTAGATTTCAATAGTTTCCTTGAATTGATAATGCGAAATGGATATAACTATGGACGTTGTAGTAAACTTATGCGTGTTTGTTTGGGTGCGGAGGGAAGGGAATACATAGTTTCAACTACACTTCATACTAGACTTTGATCAGGCGTACGTATCTACATATTTCTTTGGTAAAATGTTTTGTGCATTTCTTAAAGGAAAGCGAATTTATTAAAAGTGGAGTAATGGAAGATCCAATAGAAAAATTCGATCTGAAAATCCAAAATGCATAATTATGTTTTAAGTTTCAAGTATAATGTACTTACATGTCCTAACCAATTGATCCCATCATTTCATTGCTTCCAAGAATTGGACTAAAATCTGATAGCAATAGTTTATGTTTGGCTAAACGGACATTTATGCACTCAAAACTAAATTACATAATTACAAAGTCCACGGGCTTTAGTTACTTTGGTTATTATGGAAGAAATACGTATTGAAAGTTAAATTATCCGAATAGTTTAAGACTGAAATGCGGAATTAAACCAATTAAAAACAACAAGTCACTTATTAATTGTTTCCAAATGATTAAGGTAGTTAATTCAATTAATTCCTATGTATAAACAATCACAAACATTCAGATCAAAACAGTAAATAAATAAATAATACCGAGAATTGACCACAGAGGAAAATCTCAACTCAGGATAAAAAACCTCCAAGCAAACTTGTCAATAAACGATCCAATAGAAAAGTTAACTTACAGTTAATGTGGACACTACTAAACTTTAGGTATCAAGGAACTTATTTGGTTGTCCATGCCTGCACTTTCCAGAACTCTAGGCCACTTTTTTCTCTATTGAATCACCAAGAACGAACCTCGTTCTTTAACACCAGAACTCCAAGCGCCCCTCTCCAAACTTCAGAATTCTGAAGGTTTATAGGCGAATTTTAGAGTTTTGTTTGGTGTTTGAACTTTTTATTTTGATTTGTGGATGATGTAAAAGATTTATTGAAATATGTAATGGATCTCTTAACTTAAAACAAATACTCAGCCAATAAAAAACAATACTTGAGACAATTTAATGATGTAGATATTTTTTTTTTCTTTTTATAAAATGGAAGAAATTTATGCATACCTTATATATAACCATGTTTCAGCTTAGGTTTTGGAGAAGAACTACATTACTACAATATTTACAGCTGTAAATTTAATAACATTGGATACAAAATATTATAAACTTAAACAATACATAACTTCAATAAATTAATAGTTGTAACGAGAAGTTAAATATAATGAATACCAAATGTTTATATCAAGAATAAAAAATATAAAAAGAAAAGAAATGAAAAGTAAGTCAATTCAAACAAACTTATAAATATCTTTCACGCTTATAAATGATTTTTCTCAAATTTAAGTACACTTATTTTTAACATTAATCAACTAACGTGCAACGCACGTTCATCTTACTAGTATAATAGAAAAATGTAAAGTTTTCATTATGTCCCTTAAAAATAGTTAAAATAATTTTTCTTTATCAACTGACAAAAAAGTGGATAAATTTCATCCATTTGGATTCTTGCTAAGAATTTATCAAAGATTTGGAACCCGAGGTGGTACAACACGAAGGTCGAGGTGAAGTCTACGACAAATGCAAATATTTGGGACCGTTATTAGTTATTACAATTTCCCCTTTTTCATATTGATTCCGATTATAATGTAAAAAGTATCTATTAGGGTTCGTTTGATTGCAAATGTGGAAAATTGGTAGAAAGAAAATGTTTTATTGGGAATTGAATTGTCTAGAATTTTTTTTATTGGGAATTGTAATTAATTTTTTTTATTGGTATAATTTTTCACCTGGAAAATGTTAAATGTTTGGTGTCCGTTTGACTTTATTTTTTATGGAATTTATCCATTAAAGTGATAATTTTTTTTATCATTGGGTCTAAAATTTGTTCCAATTGCCAAAAAAAATT